GTCGAGGCCAGTAATTTTGTCACAACTGGCGTTAGGCCAATACCCCTGTGGTTAGAACAGTCTGTGCGACTGCCCTTCTTGTATATCGCCACTACAACCGATTCGCTCCAATTAGCCGGGACACCCACTTCCTTGCAGATACGTTCGAATTGTGAGGTCAGTGCTTTGCAGAGGACCTCACCTCCATCCTTAAACAGTGCAGGTGGGAGGGAATCCGGACCAGTGTCACGAAAACGATTAAGGGCTGTGATCGCGTTTCGGACCTCGGCCTCCAACGGAGGCTCTTAACTAACCGTCCATGGCTCGTCTTGGATCGCCTGAGAAGGAAGAAGTCTGGGAGTAGGGGGCCAGCTGAACTGATCTTGAAAGTGTTCCGCTCAACGAGCCATACGGCGCTCCTTATTGTGTATCAGTGCACCCGCGCTGTCTCTGATTGTCTCACTGACGCCTGATTTCCTGGGACCAGTGGTGCGGATCAGCTGGACGTGCTTGCGGTAATTGCCTACTGCTTATGTCTTCTCCATTTCTTGGGCCCGACTCGTCCACCAGGCTTCTTTGTCAGCATGTAGGCTCTGCTTTAGTTCACGCCTAATAACCTGTCTGGTCACATTGTGCTCAGAGCCAACCGGGAGGTGTCTCCTAGATTCCAACAGGTTCACCGACCTGTCGGATATCCAGTGACTGGTGGGATGACGATGGATAACGCCACAAGCAGATGCTCATGCGTCGTGCATGGCGGCCGAGATCCTATTCCACTAAAGCGAAAGTTCGGTAGGCACTGCGCCTTGATAGGCTTGTCTGACCGAGGGCTGAGACAATTTCTCAGTTGTCAATCGTAGGGAACGCTTGGTGCGCCTCCCGGTAGAGTTCATGGAGAAACGACAGCGTACCAAGGCATGATCAGAGTCGACACAGGTACTCCAGTACGATCGGTAATCCAGCATGGAACCACGCCATCTGTAACTTATCGCTATGTGGTCAATTTGGGTCCATCGCTGACCAGCTAGAGGAGGACGCCAAGTGGCACTTCGGCGTCCACTGTATCTAAAAGCAGTGCTACTAAGAAACAACTGGTGCTCCGTACACAGTTGCAGCAGACGCTCGCCGTTGTCAGTCCGTTCGGAGTTAAGCCCACAATTACCACCCAGCTGAGCTTCTGAAGAGCTCAGACGCCCTACTTGTGCGTTTCTATCCCTGCAAGTGGCATAATATCTGAACTAGTAGCACTGCGTAGTAGCGCGTTCAGTTCGTCATAGAATGTGTCCTTCACAGCATTAGAACTGCAGTTGGTGGGAGCATAAGCGGAAATCGCAAACAAACAGCGTTTGTAATACTTCGTGAATCAGCCTGAGCCGATGTCCTCAAACGGACTGCATTAAACGGCTGTTCACCGGAATCCAATCAACCAATGATGCTTCAGCCTTGGAGTTTAGAATGATACCTACACTAGCTTGATCCGTGATTGCTGCATCGGCTTCTCCGGATGCGTGCAACCAATAACGTGAGGATAAGACGGGTGTAGTTAATTCAATAACCCTGTTAGGGTCATTGATCCTAGTTCCGGACATACAACACACGTCAATACCCAGTGTGTCCAAGGTGCGTGCGAGTGCAGCCTGTTGACCTGTTCGTCTTAGAGTGCGGACGTTGAATGTCGCTATGGAAACGGGGTAGCGGGGCCTTATAAGGGACTTTTGCCGATAGGCGTCCGATAGGTGCGGTGGGATGGTGGCTCCAGATGGTTCTACTCCAGTTGCTGTCAATTAAGCTGGGAATTATATAAGGAAGGTTAGTAATGGGGGTCTGGATGGGAGTAAGAGAAAAAGATGGAAAAGAAAGAAGGGAGGCGCCAGCAGTAGCATGTTTTCGCTTATCCGCCCTGGTGTATGCAGCAGATAAGGCGACCCTTGATAATCTGCGTGACGGCCGATGCAGGATGAAGTTTATGTTTGAAGAAAAAGCCATGATTGTATGTGGGCTGAGATACTGCCAGAGCGCCCAGACCTAGACATGAGGACGATTAGGGTCCTCATCCAAAGCCTTTGACTCAAATGTCTGTCCGCAAAGCAGCGGGGAGGTGGCAATGATTTAGTTTTACAGAAATGGACGCCACCCCATTTCAAACCCCCAGCCTGGAGGACCAGGAGACTGAGTTTGTTTGACCTCTCACCATTGACTAACCTGGTAGGAGTAGCTCTCAAGGTGCCCGGAGGCATCACCCGGTATAGCTCAATGGGTCAATGAGGTACACAAACTGTCGCACCACGTTAAGGTCCAGTGTCGTTGCGTGTAGCTTCACTGTAGCCAATCATGCCTGAATACGAGTGACGAGCGCGACTAGGCACTCGTCAAATAGCACGCACTCTGCGCTCCATCCAAGCGTTCTCTGGCAACCCATGTCGTAGACTCGTCTAATGTGTTACTGGTTGATTTGGGATTGGTCACTCAATGGGTCACTCAATGGGGTGTTCGCGCCCCGTTGCATGATAGTTGATTGCCTTAAGGAATATTTTGTAAGATGTATGGATGAAGCTTATTTCATTAAGGCTGAGTTTGAAAGTGTTAAGGATGTACTTAACTGTGAAAAGGTATAGTGCTTTAATGAAGAGTGGTGGCAGAATCGCTTAACACCGACGTTGCTCACTCCAAGGAGTAACTTAGTTGTGAAGATGGGAATGTCGAATCGATGAGCCTGTTCTTCTGATAATTAGTTTAACGGCCTCTCAGAATTGTGGTGATAAGTACATGCATTTATTGTCTCAGTCGTTGTGAGTGTCTACGCTCAATCTTCTATAACTTCTGCTGATTAGGACAATTGTTGGGGTGCTAAACTACGGATGCAGTGATAGAATTACTCATACCGGACGTCTGCATACCAGGAGTGCATAATTCAACTTCCTCATTACCTTGATATTTTGTATTTCTTTTTCTAAGTAAAGAATTAATTTATAGCAGAATCTGGTTTAGACCTTCACTGTTTGTTTGTGTTGATTACCAGATGGAATTGTGTGCTGTGTGGCATTTGGCAAGGCAGTGTTAGGTTTTCCTAGTCTTCCTGCACTTCAACTACTGGAAATCCTGGTGCATCTGATATAACCCATGACTTTCACCCAAATAATTTAATCTGGTGTAAGTGTCTTTATAGTAGCGTTACATAATAATGAAACGGTGTTCACCATATCTGTTATGTAAACCTTATAATTGGTTTGAAACTTTAGACAATTAGATAAACTAATTTGTTTGGACACGTGAACTACCCATGGCGACCATATTTCTCTGCCGTACTTTTTGTCCGTTTGGGATTTAAGTAGTAGTCCCAGACAGTGACTTCCGGGTTGAAGCAGGTACCTAGAGCGGATGGGTGAAGTAACTAAACTAAACCAATTCAGTATAACTCCGAGTTAATCAAGTACAGAGAGTGATTTATGCACTCGAAGGGAGTGAATATTCAGCCGTAGCACACACGCATTCAACAACATAGTATGATATAAATGCTATACAAAATAGATCAATACTTGAGGAATGTATATAATCTCAACAGTCTATCAACTAGACACAGAGCCTACTTGAGGAATAACCATACATGGCAACAATATGGCAACGCCACACATATCATCAAACTTTTTGTTAATCAATGGACAACTATGTTTCGGTCTAGGGAAATTCGCGCTAGGCAAAGGATAGCAGACGAGCAGCACGCTCGTGTACAGAGATAGATGGATTTGTACTTCTGTCTCGTTGAGGAGGTTGGCACACATTCTGACAAACATATTGAATGGATTGACTTGTGTCGGCCATTAATGTCGATGCTAGTCTCTTGCAAGAACCAGTATGATTGAATAAAGTATTTTAACAACAGCCAGATTTGATACAGCGCTGCATTGGGACAAGAGTTTTAACGACCTGGAGATTAAGCTGAAACCATTACCCAATAGACCAACTTCCGGTAGTTGCAACGAGTAGCCACCTTATGTGTTGTCTTAGAGTAGATCACAGGACACAGTTGAACTGTTGAGTGATCAGAGCTATCTGATGGCACGTAAGTGCATACGAAGAGCAGTTTCACCTTGTTAACAAACACTAGATCGTCGCATTGGATCTAGTGGAGAAATCTACTGGATTTTCACCATAGACTTAGGAGAAATGTGGTCTCAAATCGGTTAAAACCACCAGCAAAACACTAGCGAATAATCGAATGTTGTGTTGCAAGCGGAAAACTCATCATAGAATACCTTTGCTTCAGGGCTCGGACAAGTGGGAGAAATTTAGATGCCAGCCAGAAAGATTAAGCGCTGAGTACTGATACGACATGGATGGTACCTTAGAGCTAAATAACTAATAGTTTTAGAATATGAGCGAAACAAAACTTATTGATTTGAGGGTTTTCTGAAGTACACGCTGTATAGATGGATTGCGAGATGCAACCTCGCAATGTTGACCACAATCCCCATCGAAGTGAACCTTGGTCTTTCGATCAGGAGAATCGGAGCTGAAGCGTGTAGAAATTAAACATTGCCTGCCCGCGAACACTGCACTGTACGACGAATTTCGAGCTTATTTAAGCTTTCGTAGATACGCACTAGGTGTTGGTGTAAATGGTGACTCTACCGCAATTGTTATGGTAGGTCCAAGGACAATCGACCCACTGACAGCTAAACCCTTCTACTGATGTGTGTATGGCGTCCACTTCCTCGTGAATCCAGGTATTTTGTAACAAAAAGCTAAGTTGCGAGTATTCTCGGGAGTTGATGGTACTTATTAGTACATCCATCTTCCCTAAAAGCGAACGGATGTTTGAGGTAGGATAAGTATGCCCATGCTTCCCAGTGTTTTCTTCCGAAGTACAACCTTCCATCCAGGGCTGTTTTTGACACCGTTTTTGCGCTTCCTTTAATTTCGTGTCAACTTATTCCTTATGATGTGACCGTTAATAAGTACACAAGATATAAGCGCGTAAACACGTGGCGAAGTCAAAATATTGCATGCATAGGTCAACATGTGAATATTTGTAACCGGATACAACGAAGTGAGGCAAATGGCAATTGGTGTCAAAAATGCCACAGAAAGGAATTGCACACGGTCAAATTTGAATGTTCCGCCTTCAGCATTTCAATAGCAACAGATAATATTTGCTCCGGATCATCACGCACCAACTTTGAAGTCAGTAACTTCATGCATACTCTGTGAGTAGGGAGAAATAAAGTGGATGTTATCATTTGGGAGCAATTCTAATGACCCAATTTGCCAGATTTCAGAACGGTTGCCTAAGTCGTCATCTGTACCCAGTTTACATTTGTATTGGTATATCGAATTCCTGGAAGTACCTCTAAGCAGACTATTGAGTTTATTCGTACTCACGCTTCAAACATGTGTCTATTAATGGGGGATTCCAACTACCCTAAGGTCAGATGGACTGTAGCTTGCAGTTTGGCGGTGGACACCTTCAATTCGGATCTCCGCGAGCTAACGTTGAAACTACCTTTGCATTAGTTCGTGGACCTCTCGATTAGGTAAATGAGTAACCAGCGTTCGTCTACCTTGGATCTCATTTTTCCGAAATCATACGATTTCGTAGGTGATATTACATACGGATGCCTTCTAAGAGCCACTGACCATGTCTGCATATCCTTTCAATGTGCTCCATGTGTCATTAAGCTACGGCTGAGGCATGTTCAGATATTTGGCGGGCAGACTTTAACGCAATGCGACACAAAGCTTCAGTTCTGCTTTGCGTGATCACTGTGGCTGACACCGTTGATACAGGCTGGGAGAAATTTAAAGTATGCCTCCCCGAGATCTCTGTTCCCCACATCCCACTCATTAAGAGACGGGTGACACGGACGCAGCCTCCTTGGATAGATCACACAGGTACATAACTGCTCAGGAAGGGCTCTAAGTGATGGCGAACTTACCAAGTGGCTTCATCAACCAGCACCTAAGAAAGCTGTAAAGCGGTTAGTAATAAATGTAAGCAAAATTTTAGGACTGCTCGTCTTCAGTACGAGAGAGATTTGGATGACGCAACCGCAATAAATCCAAAGAAGTTCTGTGCTTACGTACAGAGACGCAGCGGTCATCATCATCATCATCATTACACGTTAGCTGGAGGTGGAAAACACCTCAGCTATTGTGCCGCAATACAAAAGGTAAGAAAAGGAAAACAAACGGTGGCACGCCCGCTGAGTCCCCAGTAACGGATGGACATCATTCCGGAGAGCTAACAGCTGGCTGCCGTAAAAGAGAGTCATATTATACCTATCAAGTGAGAACATGATTGGAGGGGATGCTAAGCAATGTTCAATGGTGTATGATGGGATAAAAAGCATAACTTTACAAGACCCACAGGATGGATATGCAGAAGAAAATTAAAATCAAAATGTTCCAACGCGGAACGTAAAGTATCAGTGGTTAAATCATTGCACTTTAACAAAGTGTTGTGTAGCGTTTATCACTAAGATGAAAATCTAAGAGTCTTTCGAATGTCGTCATGTCTGGTGCGTTCACCACATAGTTTGGTAATGCATTCCAGTGAGAACAGATTCTAAGTGAGAAAAAATACTTTCTACAATTCAAACGAGAGTATTGCGTCATTAGTTTCAGGTGGTTGCCTCGGTTTTGTTTGCATGGGGCCAGAGCCAACAGTGATGTACATGGATGCTCGCTTTCGGTTGGTATCCGGTATGTGAGAGTAAGATCCCCGCGAAGTCGTCGGTATTCTAATGAGAACACATCGAGTACACGAAGACGCATTTCGTAACTTATACCGGATAGTCCACGGGTTGCCTTTGTGGCTCTTCTTTGGGGCTGTTCCAAGAGGCGGATGTCTCGTTTTAACCATGGACACCAGGCCTGAATTGCATATTTAACATGAGGACGAATGTAGGAGTTAATTAACAATGGTACTAGCTGTCGCTCAAAAGTGCCGAGAGCTCGCCGCAAAAGTCCCAAGTTCAAGTTCGCCACACTTGCTGCTTTCGAACATTGGAGCGAATTGCCAAGACTCTCTTGCACGATTATACCTAGGTCGCGTTCACTAGTCACATGTTGCATGATGTGTTGCCCCAAAAGGTATGTGTTGACGAAGCTGTTGTGCACCGTCAACAGGTGGCACTTTGCAGGGTTCAGTGGGAGCTGGTTCTTTTCTGCCCATTCGTTAAACCGGGTCAGATCTTCCTGGAGGTTGATACGGTCTGATGTTAAGCAAATTGCTCTCCATATTTTAGCATCGTCTGCAAATATTTGCATCGGAGATAGAATGTCTGCTGGATGGTCATTCATGTGGACTAAAAATAGTAGCGGGCCGAGGACGGATCCTTGTGGTACACCGCTGGAGATGTAAAGGCTTTCAGAATAGGTGTCAGCTACCCTTACCTTGATTGCTCTGTCGTGTAAGTAGTCTTCCAACCAGGTGAGCAGGGAACCGTTGATACCGTAGGCAGCAAGCTTTTGGAGGAGAAAGAAGTGATTGACCCTGTCGAATGCTTTAGAAAAATCCAGGTATATCACATCTATGGGCACTCCTTCATCAGCCGCCCTGGTCCATAAGTCCCGAGTAATCAGCAAATTGGTGAGACAAGGTCGTCTGCGTCGGAAACCATGTTGGGCATTAGAAATTATCTGTTGACTTCCAAAGTATCTCGTCAGTTCATCTGCGATTACCGATTCCATAACTTTTGATAAAACAGGAAGGAGCGTAATAGGTCGGTAGTTAGCAGGATCTGAGCGCTTACCTCCTTTACATATTGGAGTGATAATTCCATTTTTCCACTCAGATGGGAGTGTATGGGAGTTAAGCAGACACTGAAAAAGGTTGCAAGTGGTGTTGCTATGGTGGGAGCAAGGGTTTTTAGTACTTTTGGGCAGATCATGTCGATTCCAGGGGCACTGTACTCCCGGAGAGACTGTAGTTTGCTTACAACAGCTGCTGGAGTAAAGGTGACGCTGGATAAGTCCACGACATTTGTTGGGAGTTGATAGGGCGATGGTTCCATGACATTTGTAGCTACCGAGCCAAACTGCAAGAGTAGAGCATTCGCAGCATCCGCAGCAGTAGTTGTTAGGCCACTGGCCGTCCTGAGTGGTGGTATTCCGGGCTTAACCTTTCTTTTGCCATTCACAAATCTGTATAGCAGTTTGGTGTTACTCGTAAATTTCAGCACCATATTCTCCTGCCATTCGTACTTATCGACTCTAATGAGTGACGTGCAGCAGTTTCTGATGACTTTATAATCCTGCCATGTGATATCACATGGGCTTAGCAAATGTTGCCTCCAAATTTCATCTCTTCTGTTGATCCATTTACGTGTTCTGCTCCGGATCCACGTATTGGTCCGGCGCGATGTTCGTAATGGTACAACCTTCGATGCTGATTGTATGACCCAGTTAATTTTGTCTTTCAATTCATTCCACGCGTCATTCGCTGAGCTGTGCGTCTGTAGGTCCCAGTCAACGGTTGCTGCTAAGCTGCGCAGCTTATAATAGTCCGTAATAGTGCGTTGAGTCTCTCTTTCTTTAGCAACAATAATGGCATAACATACATAACCAAATGTTGGGACTGAATGGTCGCTACGGCCCAGTGGAGGATCGTATGCTACTGACTCAACCATCAACTCTTCATTAGTCAGGATTAAGTCCAGGAGTGATGGCTTGTTTGAACCGCGATGTCTGGTTGGTTGATGCACATGGTTATACAAAACTGCCATATCCATGAATTCGAGGAGTTTCGATTTGAATGATGGCCCATTAGGGGACATCGATGCTATTGAAGGAACATTAAAGTCACCCATTATAAGGTAGTGAGAGTACTTTTGTGAAGTAGCATAGCGGAGGGCGTTTAACAGAATGCTATCGCTGTCTGCTGATGAGTTCAGAGGCCTATAGATAGCTGCTAAGAGGCAAGCATCACTCTTCTTCTGTGAACCAACATCTCGACCTGCTAGGTGCAGTCGTCAAAATAGTGCGTCGGGAATTTTCGGTAAGTGCCCCACATTTCAAATAATCTCGATAGTAGAGAGCAACACCGTCCCCGCGAGATGGACGATCATTTCGAATGACTGACATCTCACTGAGTTCAATCTCCGGATCAAGTATGTCGTTTGAGAGCCAAGTTTCAGTGACTGCTATGAGGTCCCAATTTGTTGTTTCATGTCGGTGGCGCAGCTCCGAGAGCTCAGAATACAACCGCTGAGTGTTGGTGTAGCAGCATTGAATTTGTTGACGCATCAGGAGCTCGGTTCGCTGTGAGTGACCGGCACAAATAGTGCCGGTCTGCTGAAGTTTTTGAAACGGTTGTTTGCACAGTTGCCTGGTTTGAGATAGGTACAATTGAGGTCGGCTCATCTGTATCTGAGGTCTGTACTAACTGGAATGGTCTTAACCGTACTTCTGGTGGCCCAAGTTTCCTGTTGTCATGCCATGCTTGGATTGCCACTGATACCGTTTCGGGCGCAGCCAAGGTAACTTTCCAAATTCGTGGCCCGCTACCTTGGTAGTTTGTGGAAGCAATTAGACGGGTGACGTCAGAAACCACGACATTCTTCATGTCGTATAGTTCAGCAATGTACCGCCATTCTTCTATGTCGTGCTTCTGTCGTTCACTGCTATCGTCATGCTTCAATTCTGGCACACCATGAACCAGTACCACTTTCTTCATCTCATTTTGACGTGACGAACTAGGGTTGGATTTATGCTTCTGTCTTTCTGCCCATGGCCTGTCAGGAAAAATGCGGGCACTGACAGAAGAGTTCACTAGCATGTGGCTTGCTAAGAGAACATCTTCCAGGTCACGCGTGTTGCCAAACGTTACTCGCAGTAACCGAGGTTCCCCTAAGTGTGGAGATGATGGATTTCGTGAAAGGCGTGTAAGACTAGTTGGGAGAACTTTCAGTCCGAGTGCGCAGGTTATTTCAGCCCACCGGTTTTGCTCCTCGGCTTGTCTTCCTTTTAGCGATTCGCTAGTGGGTTCTGGGATGTTCGAACATATTACTGTCATTGCCTTTTGGTTGCGTAGTAATTGTTTGTTCTGCAGTTCCTTGTGAGCGTAGGTTTGTCGAGTGGGGGTGTCTGGCTTGTCTTCCGTGGACAATACGCCAAGACTACAGCAAGAATTTTTAAGTGCAACGACGTTAGTTGCACTATCTGTAGGGGTCAATTGTTGTTGACCAGCTACTGACGGAGGTGAT